AGGTGTCACTCAATAGCTGAATGAATAAACAGTGGTGCTTCAAGATAATGAGATATTATTCAGTGCTAAAAAGAAATGAGGCTTGGTAAGGTAGCTCATGAACTGTAATTCCAGTACTTTGGGAGGCCGAAGTGGGGGGATCACTTGAGCCCAGGAGTTCCAGGCCAGCCTAGGCAACATAGCAAGACCTTGTCTCTACAAAATATTGAAAATAACACTGACTTGTTTTTAGGGATTTGTTCTGAAGCCCATGGGAAGAAGCAAAGTCTCAGTATTCAAGTGAAGAGCAGGTAGCAAAAAGAAATTATTATTTTTTTTGAGACAGAATCTCACTGTTGCCCAGGCTGAAGTGCAGTGGTGTGATCTCTGCTCACTGCAACCTCCACCTCCCAGGTTCAATCGATTCTGCTGCCTCAGCCTCCCGAGTAGCTGGGACTATAGGTACATGCCACCAGGCCCAGCTAATTTTTTTGTATTTTTTTTTTTTTTTTTTGAGATGGAGTTTTGCTCTTGTTGCCCAGGCTGGAGTGCAATTGCACAATCTTGGCTCACCATAACCTCTGCCTCCCTGGTTCAATCAATTCTCCTCCTTCAGCCTCTTGAGTAGCTGGGATTACAGGCAAAGTAGACATAAGAACAATTTCCACTTACTTTGCATTTACCAGTCCAAAGACCACGCTGGCCTCTTTCTTTCTTTCTTTTTTTTTTTTAAGATGGGGTCTTGCTCTGTTGCTGAGATTGGAGTGCAGTGGCATAATCACGGCTCACTCCAGCCTCAACCTCCTGGCCTAAGGCAGTCCTCCTGTCTCAGCCTCCCCAGCAGCTTGGACTATAGGCATGCACCACTGCCCCTAGCCACTATTAGTTTTTAGTGAGTGTAGAGAGCACAGCATGGGCCAGGCCTGGTGACTGATGCCTGTAATCCCAGCATTTTCAGAGGCTGAGGTGGGAGAATCAGTTGAGCCTAGGAGTTTGAGACCAGCCTGGGCAACATAGTGAGAACCTTTCTTTACAAAAATAAATAAATAAGCTGGGCGTGGTGGCATGCACCTGTCATCACAGCTACTCAGGAGGCTGAGGTGGGAGGATCCCTTGAATTCAGGAGTTCCAGGCTGCAGTAAGCTATGATCGTACCTCTGCTCTCCAGCCTGGGTGACAGAGCGAGACTGTCTCTAAAGCAAACAATTAAAAAAAAATGGTGACAATATCCACACTGACTCAGGGTCATTATAGATGAGGCATAGTTGTGAGTCTTTCCCTCCTTTGACTCTCACTTGTTAGGGAAGAAGTGGTTACTACCTCAATTTTTCAGGTGAGAAGACTGAGGCCCAGAGCAGGGAAGCCTTAATCTAAGGTCCCAGAGCTGTAGGAATTAGAGTTGGGGTGACCCCAGGACTCCTTTTGGAGGAAGACTCAGGAAAGATGCAGAATGCTTTTTTTTTTTTTTTTATTTGAGACAGAATCTCACCCCATCACCCAGGCTGGAGTGCAGTGGTGTGATCTTGGTTCACTGCAACCTCTGCCTCCCGGGTTCAAGCAATTCGCTCCTGCCTCAGCCTCCCAAGTGACTGGGACCACAGGCACATCCAGCTAAGTTTTGTATTTTTAGTAGAGATGGGGGTCTTGCCATGTTGGGAAGGCTGGTCTCGAACTCCTGACCTCAGGTGATCTACCACCTGGGCACCCCACAAAGTACTGGGATTACAGACGTCAGCCACCGCACCTGGTCAGAATGCAATTATTCTAATAACAACACCTACTTCTTTTTTTTCTTTTTCTTCTTTCTAAGACAGAGTCTTGCTCTGTTGCCCAGGCTGGAGTACAGTGGCGCGATCTGGGCTCACTTCCACCTCCAGCTCCCGAGTACAAGCAATTCTGGTGCCTCAGCCTTCTGAGTAGCTAGGTCTACAGGTGCACGCCACCATGCCCAGCTAATTTTTTTGTATTTTCAGTAGAGTCGGGGTTTCGACATGTTGGCCAGGTTATTCTTGAACTCCTGACCTTAGGTGATCCACCCGCCTTGGCCTCCCAGAGTGCTGGGATTACAGGCATGAACCACCACGCCCAGCAACAGTGCCTAGTTCTTAAGTGCTTTCTGCCTGCTGATTCTTTTACATTTACAGCTAGTGCTCGACTTACAACCACGATTGGGTCCGACAGACCGGTGATAACACGATTTTGGTCATAAGTTGAGTAGGCTATATGCACGCGGAGATGGTAGTGCTGCCAGAAGCTGGTCCACACTGTTGTACGCCCAGCTGGGCAACGTTTGCGCTGCCAGACGTGGAGCAGTCGTGGCTAGCGATTGTAGTCGTAAAGTCAAATGGTCGTAAGTTGCATAGGTCGTAAGTCGATCAATACCTGTAAAGTCTCTTGGCATCTGTCTGCTTTTAAAGCTCAGGGCAGCCCTGAAAGGTGAGTTCAAGTGCATTTCTTTGTTTCGTTTTGTTTGTTTTTGAGACAGAGTCTTGCTCTGTCACCCAGGCTGGAGTGCAATGGTGCCATCTCTGTTCATTGCAACCTCCGCATCCTGGGTTCAAGCAATTCTCCTGTCTCAGCCTCCCAAGTACCTGGGACTACAGGTGCCCACCACCCCGCCCGGCTAATTTTTGTATTTTTAGTAGAGACAGGGTTTCATCATATTGGCCAGGCTGGTATTGAACTCCTGACCTTAAATGATCCACCCTCCTTAACCTCTCAAAGTGCTGGGATTAGCCGGGCACAGTGGCTCACGCCTGTAATCCCAGCATTTTGGGGGGCCAAGGCAGGCAGATCACCTGAGGTCGGGAGTTCGAGACCAGCCTGACCAACACGGTGAAACCCTGTCTCTACTAAAAATACAAAATTAGACGGGCATAGTGGTGTATGCCTGTAATCCCACGTACTTGGGAAGCTGAGGCAGGAGAATCTCTTGAACCTTGGAGGCAGAGGTTGCAGTGAGCCATTGTACTCCAGCCTGGGCAACAAGAGCGAAACTGTGCCAAAGAAAAAAAAAGTGCTGAGATTACAGATGTGAGCCACTGCACCTGGCCTGGTGCATTTCTTATTATCCATATTTGCAGTTAAGCAAACTGAGCCTCAGAGTGGCGGGGCTGATTGCTCAAGGTCTGTTTTTCATATGAAGTCCTACCTGGTACTTAGCTCTCCCACAAAGGAAGAAAAACTTTCTGTTCAGACAGGAAGGGTAAGGAGAAGCCTATGTGGCCATGGAGTGGAGGAAGCAGCAAAATACAAAGGCCCAGAGACTGGATCCTGCTTAGCTTGTAGGAGAAGCAGCAGGGAGGACCCCGTGGCAGCTGGAGCAGTGTGATTCAGGGGCAGGCAGTCGGAGAGATGGGCAGGGCCTCCTAGGCATGGGGTGACTGACTGATACACCAGCGGTCTGCAGACACAGAGCATCACACCGGTGTGCATGCGCTCTGCTGGCCCTCGAGGGTCTTCCTTGCCCCTGCAGCTGAACTCCCTACACAGCCTGGCACCCATTTTTCCTCAGGCCAAATTTGGCATGTTGTGCCCCAGGAGGTGATGTACACATGCCTCAGGACATGCCGTGAAGAGAGAGACCAGGTGGGGTGGCTCATGCCTGAAATCCCAGCACTTTGGGAGGCCAAGGCAGGAGGATCTCTTGAAGGCTGGGAGTTAGAAAACAGCCTGGCCAACATAGTGAGACCCTCTCTCTACAAAAAGAAACAGAGAAAGAAGGAAACTTTTTCTTTTTTTTGAGACAGAGTTTCGCTCTTGTTGCCCAGGCTGGAGTGCAATGGCACAATCTTGGCTCACTGCAACCTCCACCTCCCATGTTCAAGCAATTCTCCTGCCTCAGCCTCCCGAGTAGCTGGAATTACAGGCATGTGCCACCATGCCCAGCTAATTTTGTATTTTTAGTAGAGATGGGTTTTCTCCCTGTTTGTCAGGCTGGTCTCGAACTCCTGACCTCAGGTGATCCGCCAGCCTCAGCCTCCCAAAGTGCTGGGATTAGAGGCGTGAGATACTGCACCCGGCCGGGAAAACTGTCTTCTTTGCAAATGTATTCCAATATTTTCATAGACAATATGAAATATTTCAAGAGTTTTAGTTTGGTGTTAGCCTGTCTTTAATAATCCAATATTTTCAAGTGTTTTAGTTTGGTGTTAGCCTGTCTTTAATAATCCTCTAAGGACGAGCACAGTGGCTCACACTTGTAATCCCAGCTCTTTTGGAGGCCAAGGCTGTAGGAGCCCTTGAGCTCAGGAGTTTGGGATCATCCTGGGCAACACAGCAAGATCTTATCTGTACCAAATTAAAAAAAAATTAGCCAAGTGGCATACACCTGCAATCCCAGCTACTTGAGAGGCTAAGAGGGGAGAATCAATTTAGCTCAAGAGTTCAAGGTTGCAGTAAGCTATCATTTACAAAGGCAGATTGAAATATTATTATTATTATTTGAGATGGAGTTTTGCCCTTGTTGCCCAGGCTGGAGTGCAATGGTGCGGTCTCGGTTCACCGCAACCTCTGCCTCCCGGGTTCAAGCGATTCTCCTGCCTCAGCCTCCCGAGTAGCTGGGATTACAGGCGCCTGCCACCAGACCCAACTAATTTTTGTATTTTTAGTAGAGACGGGGTTTCTCCATGTTGGCCAGGCTGGTCTGGAACTCCTGACCTCAGGTAATCCATCCACCTTGGCCTCCCAAAGTGCTGGGATTACAGGTGTGAGCCACCGCGCCTGGCTCCCTTATTAGTGAATTTTAACAGTTTTCTGTTTCTTCTGGCCGAATTGTTTTAATTATAATGCGAATTACGCATAATACTCCGATTATTTGTGGACATAACATACTCTGATTATTCCATTCCGTTCCGTTGTTGCCTACAAAGTTCGCGCTGGAGAACAGCGCAACTGCGTTACAAAAAAAATAAATTACACAAAAAGACACAATTTAAAAAAAAATTTTAATGCAATTAATTCAAGATTTTTCTTTAAAAAATTTTTAAAGCAATTAATTCAAGAAAAAAGACACAATGTTTTAAGAAAGTTTCCGAATGTGTGCTGGGCCACGGGTTGGACCAGCTTGATCTACAACTTTCAGGAATCACTAGACAGAATCATTGCTTCCCCTCCTCTGTTCCAGCTCTGGTTACAGAAAGCTGAGAGTGACTAGGCCTAGGTGTCTGTGAGGTGGGGAGATGAGTCTTCTATGCGACTCCGAGGACGCGCAGCCGGCACAGTCAGCCGGTGCCTAACTCAAGAGTTAACTCGAGAACGAAGGAATCAACAGCGGCCGGTCTGCGCTTGCGCGCGGCGGGGGCGTGGGCCGGGGCGGGTGGGGCCAAGGAGGGAGCCGGCAGTGGCGCGCGCAGGTGTTACTGGTCGCGTCGGGTCACGTGGGCACGCAGGCGCTACGCGGCGCAGCCCGCTCGCTCACACAAAGCCCAGACGCGGAGAAAATGGCGGCAGGGGTCGAAGCGGCGGCCGAGGTGGCGGCGACGGAGATCAAAATGGAGGAGGAGAGCGGCGCGGCAGGCGTGCCGAGTGGCAACGGGGCTCCGGGCCCTAAGGGGTGAGTATTCCACGGTCCCTTACTCCTGGTAGGGCTTCCTCTCCGCGGCCGGGCGCCGGCGGCGGCTCCGTTAGGTCTGTTGGCGGCCTAGCCCCCGCGCGTCCTCGGCCCCGGCTGTTCCCGCACCGCCTGCCCGGGTGGCGGCGGCCAAGTCCGTGAGAGGGGAGCGGGGGGAGCCTCCAGAATCGTTCCCTACTCTGGGCCTGGAGCCTCGGCTCCCTCAGTTTCTCCAGGCCGGGACCAACCTCGTTGCCGACGCCTCAGGCCCAGTTGCTGCGCACCGGGGTTGATGGCGCGGGCCCCTGAGCTGGAGAGCCCCGGAGTCCGAGGCTGGCCCGGCCGCTTCCCGGGAGGGTGACCTTGGGTACCGGGTTTCACCCCCAATCTCCTCTCCGCCCAGGATCTCAGCTTCCCGATCCGTAACGTGGGGGAGAGGGGGTGCGCGCCCGACGCCTCGCGCGCCGTCAGCCCGAGTCAACGGTAACCGAGGCTTCAGGAAGGGCCGCGAGGCCGGGTCCGGGTCTCGCCTCCGCCTCCTCCTCCTCCGCGCGCCCACCCTCCTCCCCGCCCGACGGGAAGTGCCTCCCTCGGAACCGCCCCTCGCCCCACGCTCTGGCCCGGGCTCAAGTCCTTCTCCGCTTCCCGCTCCTCCTCTCCGGGTGCGCCGCAGGCATTAGCGGAGAGATGGGATCTCCTGCTCAGCGTTCACCCTCAGAAGCGGACAGACACGAAGTCGGGGGAAGAATCCCCTTCCTCCCGTAGTTCTGGGGAAACTGTTTTGTCATAAGGCGGTTTCATTTACTTGCGGGCTCCATTAGGTTTTTGAGACCTGCTCAGGCTCTTTGACTTCTTGGCTTTTAAAAGTTTCCATCAAGGAGGAAGCGTCGACTTGTGCCCCCGTGAAACTCACTTATTCTGATTACAGCCACTTGAGAGAGAGAGAGAGAGAGAGAGAGAGGGAGAGAGAGAGAGAGGGAGAGAGGTTTTAGCTGCAAGACCGGAGGGCCGGGAAGGGAGGGGAAGCCTGGGTACACATTGGATTTCCCAGAGATTTATTTTATTGTGGCAAAATAGACATAAGGTAGAGTTTGCCATTTTAACTTTTTAAGCGAGCAATTCAGTGGCATTGAGTACATTGACTCAGTGCTGCTGTGCTGTAACCAACTCTTGTTTCATGTCCAGAATTTTTTTTTTTTATTTTTTTTTTTTTTTTTTTGGAAACTGGGTCTCGCTCTGGTTGCCCAGGCTGGAGTGCAGTGGTGAGATCTTGGCTCACTGTAACTCCTGCCTCCTGAGTTCGAGCGATTCTCCTGCCTCAACCTCCCTAGTAGCTGGGACCACCGGCATGTGCCACCACGCCCGGCTCATTTTTGTATTTTTAGTAGAGACGGGGTTTCACCATGTTGGCCAGGCTGGTCTCGAACTCTTGACCACCCGCTTCGGCTTCCCAAAGTGCTGGGATTACAGGCGTGAGCCACGGCGCCTGGCCTCCTCTCCAGAACTTTTCGTCATCGGAAACAGAAACTGTAGCTATTAAACACTAACTCCGTTTTCTTACCTTTCTGTTTGTGATTTTGCCTTCTCTTATATTTTAATGTGTGAAACTTAGTTTATGGAGATTAAAAGTGAATGTGGTTGAACACTTATATATGTAATTTTTTTTGAGACAGGGTCTCGCTTTGTTGCCCAAGATGGGATGCAGTGGCGCCATCACAGGTCACTGTACCCTGGAACTGCCGGGTTCAAGCGATCCTCCTATCTCAGCCTCCCAAGTAGCTGGGATAACAGGCGCAGCACCACCATGCTCAGCTAATTTTTAAATTTTTTAAAATTTTTGTAGAGACGGGGTCTCTGTGTTGCCCAGGCTGGTCTGAAACTCCTGAGCTCAAGCCGTCCTTCCGCCTCGCCTTCCAAAGTGCTGAGATTACAGCTGTGACCTACTGCGCCCTGTGTAGTTGAGCGCTTACCTTAAGAGTGTTCATTAAGTGCTAGCTATATTGTTAGATAATAAATCTGGAGAAAATTCGGGATTCTTTCTCTCCATAGGTAGGGAGAAATAAAATAACAAGGTTACTGGCCCTTAGAAATGAAGAGAAAAGCTTCCTCCATCCTCAACACTTTACTGTTGAAAACTCTGAGAAGGGATGTGTTAATTTTGACTTTAATCAGCATCTATCTAGGGAAGCCCGGTAGGATTTCTGAGGGTGGTATTTGGAGGGCTTGAAGATAAACTTATTTACAGCATGCAGGAAGGAGTGCTGGTAGAACCTTGCTAGATGAGAGAGTAAATTAGTTATAGATTAGCATCTTGGGTGCTTTTCTCAAATATTCTGTTTTCCCCTGTCCATTTTCAAATAGTCATTTTGTGACTGAGTCATTTTACAAATAGATGTGAACTGTTGAAACCTGAAAGTTTTAGAATAAAATAGCCCTTGTTGGAAAGAGCTTCAGAATCTCAAAGTTTAGTACTGGCTTCATAGAGAATAAGAAGCTGGCATCACTTGGATATTTTTCACAGGGCTTGTGGAAAACTTTTTTTTTCATTGTAAGTCTTTTTATTTATTTATTATTTTTTTAATTACAAGTCTTAGCCAGGAAAGCTCTTTACAAGCCCATGCCCAGAATGGGGAGACCATTAACATATTTATAGTAAGGTGATAATGCTGTGATAGAAGTTAGTGGAGTTGCTTGGTAGGGAGAATGGAGGAGGTGACCCTCCCAACCTGCTGGGGGCGGGGACCTGTTCCTCCATGACAGGAAGACTTGTGGAAGTGGTGAAGAAGAAGATGGTTGGGGAGAGGCAGAGAAGAGAGTATCTAAAGACCAGAAATTTGAGTCTGTGCTTTATTAAGAACTGAAGTTGTGCTGGGTGTAGTGGCTCCTATCTGTAATCCCAACACTTCGGGAGGCTGAGGTGAGAGGACTATTTGAGTTCAGGAGTTCAGTACCATCCTGGGCAACATGGTGAAACCCTAGCACTACCAAACAAAAAAACACTGAAATTGCTATAGCGTTTAAGGTTGGATCACTGGTGGCCCGCTGATGGGCAGTGAATTCACATTTTTCTCTTGAAAGCCTTTGAGAGACAGGAGGAAAATAGATACTTGATTCTTTGGACTTCTGTCTCTACCAGGAGTGGAGTGTTCAGTAGACAAAAACATAGTGAGCTAGCAAGCTTGATCTGGGACCCCAGGTTGGAAATCTTATTTTGCTGTCCTCTTCTGGTTGTGAGAAGAGGATTTGCTTGCTTTTGATGAGAAATCTGTTCTATTTAAAGTCAGTCAAGATTCAGAGTTATGGTATAGTCAGGAGAAAACGCATTCATTTTAGGGGAATGTATAAGTTAAAAAAATTTTTTTTTAGTGTTGTACCATATATAAAAGCAATGACTTAACCTGTTGCCGTTCCTGAGTAATTTTATGGGTAAATCAGCAACAGATGGATTGGTTATTTTAAAAATAAAAATTTATATTCCTTAGGAGGTACTGGTAGAGTTAACTACATTTTACAATCCAGAAAACTTTGGGGCCGGGCGCTGTGGCTCACGCCTGTAATCCCAGCTCTTTGGGAGGCCGAGGTGGGCAGATCACAAGGTCAAGAGATCAAGACCATTCTGGCCAACATGGTGAAACCCATTTCTACTAAAAAACACAAAAATTAGCTGGGCATTATGGTATGCACCTGTAGTCCCAGCTACTCGGGAGGCTGAGACAGGAGAATTGCTTGAACCCGGGAGTTGGAGGTTGCAGTGAGCCAAGATAGCACCACTGCACTTCAGCTTGGCGCCTGGTGACAGAGCCAGACTCTGTCTCAAAAAAAAGAAAAAGAAAAAAGAAAACTTTGGTTTTATAGAATTAAGCAAACCCAGGTTCAGAAACTTGGCCTAAAGACTCCAAGGGAAGCCATCTTGACTCCCAGGCAGCTTGCTGCTTCCCTAATACTACCTTGGTAACCACTTAGTAAAAATCATTTGAATTGTTTTACTTAATCAGATTCTCTATACAATACATCCGAGTGTTTGCTGTGCTTTAAAAAGTGATTGTATATTTGGTAAAAAGGATTTTGGAGGCACATCAGATAGTGAGCTCAAGATTAGAAGACAGGGTTTTGGATTATTTGAATGCATTCTGCCAGGGCTTTGCTTTCCCTCTGCCCTTTGATTTTATTCTGGTTAGGGAAAGACATGCTGGCTTGCGAAGATTAGCTTGCTTGTTTTTTTGGGAGGGGCGGTTCTCCTGTGGGCTTTCCATTACCATATTTTGCAGTCGTAGGGTTAAAAGCTGAGTTGTCCCTAGGTTTTCTCAGCCTTGGCTCTGGTTGGCTTGTTTTAAAACCTGAACAGTAGAAGGCTAGGAGTGAATCAATCCCCCTTTCTACCCTCCTCAATAAAATTATTGGTAGAGAAATATATCATTGCCTCAGTTACTGTGTGCCAGGAGCCTCTTTTAAAGCTGTAAGTGTGTAGGTAGTAACCTCCATAGGACTGAGGTGACCGTAGGTCCTAGCCACATGCAGTACTGCTCCCCTAGTTAAGCTGCTGCTTGTTATACCATTCTTTGTGGATTGTCAGCAGTGTCCCTGTGAGCTACCATGGACACAGGTTGCGCTGGTTTTGCTGGTAAAGCACTAGAGGTGGAAAGAGCTTGAGTCATGTGGGTAGTTAAGTGGTGGACTTGGAGCTGGGATAGTGCTATGAATAGTGCTCTCCACACCTTAAATGCATTAGAGGAATGCAGGATTTCTGTGAAGAGTCACTTTATATAAGGGATGGTTCTCACGTGGCCGGAGGGGTCCTTTTCCTCAGGAGATGTGATGAGAGTTTCAGGGTATTGAGATTGCTGTTTCAAACTGCACACCCTTCCCTTGATTTAGAAACTCAAAAGTAGTGAGTGTTATGCACAGGAGCTGCATGGAGACATAGATAGGGTAGGAAGTCACTATTTGGTAGTCTTTTGTAGGTTAGGCACTCAATCTTTTTATTTTATTTATTTTTTCGAGAT